GCCGGGGAGAGGGGCTCCAGGCCGTGCCTGGGGGGCCGAGCGGCTGCCCCTCGCCCCCAGGGTCCGTTCTCCGTCGTCATTGGTATGAGGCACAATCCCTGAAGAGCCCAGCAGCCGTTGGGCGCTGGTGAGTTTTGGCCAAGCAGAAGCAGGGGGTGTTTGGGGAGGCCGGGAAGCAGAGGGGGGATGCCAGGCTGCCCGGGGGCCAGGGGAGGAGCGCGTGGGGCCAGAGGCACTAAGGGAATACAGGGCCTTGCTGGGCTAAACCTGCGCCTCCTCTTGCTGCTCGCAGGAGAGGCTGGGAGCAACCAGCCCCGCACCCCGCTGCCCCCAGCGCGGGCCCTACCGCAGGGTGCTCGCTGCCCCCCCAGGCTCTGCGACCAGGCATGGAGCCAGACGGCCGGGTCCCCCGTTCCCCCGGGGCTGTGCAGTCCTGCTCCCAGAGCCCCGTGAGGGACAGGGCTGAGGGAGGGAAGGGCAGAACTCGTGGCCAGTAGGGCAGTGGGAAGACAGCAAAAAAACCCCCAAACCAACAGTGCAGAGGGGACAGGAGGCCCAAGAATATCCCAGAGGTAATGGAGGTGAGAGAGGGAAGGGTGGTCTGGGACTGGCTGGCCAGAGGCACTGGCAAGGCACAGGGGTGGGGACGGAGACGGGGGCTAGGGGGAGCGGTGCTGGCTCCAGACAGCAGGGAGGGGTTCCAGGATCTCAGTGGTGACCCGCACGCTCACCCCCTGGGGCGAGGCAGGTCCCGTCCCTCCTACTCAGGTGATCACTTTGATCCCAAAATATTTGCGCAGCTGTTCCAAGAAGACAAAGGTGAGGACGGTGTGAGGAATGAGCCGGATGGCAGCAGGAACGAATCCCTGGAAGGGGAGAGCGAGAATGAGGAGTCAGCACGTGCCCAGCCCTGGGCTTCCCCGTCAGAGCCAAGGGTGCCCAGCAGCCCCACCCACGGGGAGCGGGACGAGCTTGCAAGCGCGGGGTTGCGGCTGGCTGGGCATGCAGCACGAGCTCCCAGGAGCTGGGGCCTTGTGGCAGGCAGAGACTGCCGCAGCGGTGAGGGAGGCACCACAGCCATCGCTGTGCACGCAGAGCTCAGCATCATGCATCAACCCCTCTGCCCCCAAACACATCAGTGCTGGCATCACCACCACGTAGGCAGAATCTCAGCAGAAGCCCGGGTCAGATCCCACAACCCCGGTTCAGATGGGGGTTGGACGCTGCCTGGGGAAGATGAGCAGACAGGCTGTAACAGGGAAAATGCCTGACTGGCAGCATCTGGAAGAAACCTCGGGTTTGAAACCCCTCTTCAGGGGCCCTCCCGGGAGCAAGACTGAACACACGGGTGACTGCACCAAGCCCGGGCGCGTAGGGCCCGTGGTCAGTGACATCCAACGCGTGCTGGAGCACCGCTGCCCGTAGCTGCGT